GGCAGCTGCTATATAATCATTGTATGACCTCAGAGCACAGCTCTGACCAGTTTGAATTAATGTTGGTTAGAGATGAATTTTAGACATTTTATCATTGTATAGAAACCCCTTTGATGAGTCAGATTCTGAAGAGGAWGATGAAAGGGAAGAAAATGAAAAAAAGAAGGCAAAGAAAAAGGTGATGATTGATTACACACTTCAACCATGAGTAGCACAAGCCCTTGTAGTGACGTTGAAGCCTAACAAAACCTTTATTGAATGTAGATGCTAAAACCGCTTATGGAGTAAGCGCAAACCCTACATCCCCCTCCCCATCCCCCCCCACACACACACACATCTTGATTGTGTTTATTGTCCATCTTTAATCTTCTAGGGAAGTAAGGGCTGGAAAATCGACATAAATTTGGCTCTTTCAGCTTATGCAAATGCTCAAAGGTAGGAAAAAATGCAAAAAATCTACCACTGAATTTTTTTGAATAGACCTCTATACCTTGGGTGTAATATTTTCCCATTTCAGACCACGTGCCATTCTCTTGAGAATAAGATTCTTTGTTTGACTTGTATCCATATTCATGTGTTTTCTCATGCGTCACCATTAAACAAAGAAATGATACTCTAGAGAATGACACGTGGTCTGAAATGGGAGGTCTATTTAGAGTTAAGGAAGACATATTGCTAATAGTTGTCATTGTTGTGTAAAATGTTTTTCTGCAGTTTTTACAAAAAGAAAAAGCAATCGGCTGTGAAGGAGCAGAGGACTATTGATCAATCACAACAGGCAAGGACAGGGAAAATCCTGGGTGGCCCCTGTTGGGAATAAAGGACGCGCTTTGGGGGAGGGGAAGGTGGTGTTTGAGGCTAGTTGGGAGTCATCCCAAATGAAAAGTGAGTAATGCGGAAAAAAGCAAACATAGGAAGAACTAATGCCCGTAAAAAAATGAAAATTGTTCTTTTTAGGCTTTGAAGTCAGCGCACAAAAAAGCTAAACAGACAATAAAAGAAGTAGCAACAACAACAAGTATTCGTAAAGCCAGGAAAACATATTGGTTAGTCTTACTTTATTTTTTTTATATAAGAGCTGTGGAAAAACGACTTCCGGGTCCAAAACGAAAAGCCGAGTTGTATAAAGATTTTTCTTACTTTTTCTTCATGACTGGATTTTTCGTCTTTCTGAAATTGTTTTAGCCAAGACTTCAAAAGATTTTGTAATCATAGTAAGTTGTTTTTGTTAGGTATAAGTCCCTAACTAGTAATCTTTTATACGTACGCCAAAACGACAAATAAATATTCAGTGGAAACTAGTTTTGTTTTAATTCGTCCAAAGTTCTAATTGTTTTAGGCAATGGTCATCTCGTTAAGACAATTCTCGCTTCATTCAGGTGAATTTTACGATCAGTCGGACCCAAAAGTACGTTACAACTTAAGATTACCTATAATAGAAATGGCGTAGAGCTGAAAGAAGTCGCCACTCAACAATGCGTCTCAGAATTATTCCTAATAACTTGCTATAATTCCAATACCCATGCTTAACAGGAAATCTTTCTTGTTCCAAATGAAGGTTTGAAAAGTTCCGATGGTTTATCAGTTCAGAGAACTACTTGGTTATTGGCGGACGAGACCAGCAACAGAATGAATTGATAGTCAAACGACATCTTACACCAGGTAAGGAATACCTTCATGTAGTGTGAGGTGTCTCGCGCTCAWTTCCTGGACTCGTCATTACATTTGAGTAATAACATATCGTATTAGATTGCTGGACTCATGTGAGTAGCAAGCTTTTGGGGAAGGGGGGAGGGGGAAGGGGCTTTCTAACTACTTTGCTTCCCAAGCATCACTGTTAAAGAAAAGAACAATACTCAAGAGAACAACACAGGTTATATTTTTTCAGCGTGAAAAATTCCCAAAAAGCTAATTATAGAATAGCTGTTATAAATCTCGCACTCTGATTGGTTGGGAGCGCGTGTTTTATGAGAGCACACAGCACGCACGTRCACTTTGCATTTTATAAAAGAAATAAAAAAACTTGYTTGCTGTGCTGTGTGGAGTTATAAAGCACTTGGGGATTGGCAGAACACTCGAGAAGTGTCCGCTACGCGTCGTGCTTCTCCTAACACTTCTCTCGTGTTCTGCCAATGCTCGCGTGCTTTATAACTGCACACAGCACACAGCACGCGCGCGCGTTTTCTATTTCTTCAATAGCACAACGACTCTGATCTCTCTTCATTGATCAGGTGATATTTACGTCCATGCTGATCTACACGGAGCAAGCAGTGTTATAGTGAAAAACAAGCCCGATAAACAACCCATCCCACCAAAGACACTCCAGGAAGCAGGCGCCATGGCTGTATGTAACAGCGCGGCTTGGGATAGTAAGTTTGTCACGTCTGCATGGTGGGTCTACCATGAGCAGGTATGGTTGGAAGATGGTGATTTTCGGTTGTACWTTTTATCAAACTAGTTTCTTTCGTTATCGTCGTGATTTTGATTGTCTGCTGTTGTTTAAWAGTTCYCTGCTAGCAGCTTCYCTCTTCTCTTTCTCTCCCTTCTTTCAGGCGGGGAGGAAGGAGACCCTGCCGATGTAGAGTGTTTCCTTTGATACACCGCCGTCCACGATTYAAAACCGGTTTTTAACCGATTACATGTAGTGCGCATGAGCAAATGTAACACACYGTGGCGCCAAACATTGTTTGACGAGAGCGGCTGTCAAAATCATAACAGCGTTGCTAAGTTACGCCACGCATGCGCGTCATAACKTCCTACATSGGCAGAGTCTATTTTTCTCTCTCAACCAAAACAAAAGGAAAATAGGCTCTACTAGCAGGGAAGTTTAAAAGTGTCTGTTTTTATACTTTTTTAGYTGTCACTGTTAATATGGGTCATTTTCCTCCGGTTTCTCCGGTTTTTCCTCYCTCCCTCCCACAAAAATCAACTCAAATCAACTATTCACGTACCTCTCATCCTCAGGTGTCCAAGACAGCACCCACAGGCGAGTACCTGACGACTGGTAGCTTCATGGTCAGAGGCAAGAAGAACTTCCTTCCCCCAACGCATCTCATCATGGGTTTTGGCTTCCTTCTTCGCCTGGATGAATCGTGTATTGAGAATCACTTGAATGAAAGAAGAGTTCGTGGAATGGAAGAGGACAGTGAATCTATTGCTGATTCGAACGCTGTATGTAAATGAGGGATCATTTTTTGGATTATTATTTTTATTATTATTTTTGCTTTCTCATTTGTTATTCAGTCTCGTTCTTTCTTTTTTTCTCTTCATTATCTCCCTCCTTCCGCCGCTCCTCTCCTTTTTGCTGTGCTGTGCTGTGCTGTGCTGTGCTGTGCTGTGCTGTGCTGTGCTGTG